TTAAATGTTTGCACATGTGTCTTTAATCTCTATGTACCTGATGATTACTAGGCACAATCAGTTACACTCGGATCCTAAGTACCTGGGTATGGATATAAAGTCATCAGGTAGATTTCACTGGTAATGTTTATCACCTCTACTATTTAACATGAAGTACATTTTTATGCTTCCTCCTCAAATATGTTTTTTAAAAAATTTTTGATTTTTCTATGTGTATATCATACAGAACATCCCACGCAATCTTATTCATCTATATACCCACTTCCCAAATGGCACCCTCCCATAACCTCTCCCCCTCCCACACACTGGAGCCCACATACTTTGTCAACCCTGTTACTGTCCACTTATTCTGTCCGCTTATTCTTATAACTTATTCTGTCCACTTATTCTTATGTGTTGTTGACACCATATTAGACCAACAACCTACTGACAAATTATACATACAACCACATCAAAGAGTGTAATATATGTCTAGGCAAGGTTTATCTGAGAGCATTTGGTCTTTGCCCAAGCTCTACCTACATGGCATATAATAATGAAAAGGACCAGACTGGTGGAACTAAACTTCTTGGATGTTTAACAGCCATATTTTAAGGCTTATACTAATTTGGTCAGGGGGACATAAAGGACAGTTTTTGCTCCTTGCCCTCCTAGGTCGACTAAGTTCCAGGGGACTATGAGCATCTCTCAAAATGTCCTGTAACTGTGGTGAGTCACCTGTCCTCTTGAGCAAGGAGGCTGTGAAGACCCCACCAGATAGACCTGAACCAGTACCCAGTCTACAAAGAGGAGGGTCAACACAGAGGAAGCAGTTCCTCCATGCTTCCAAGAGAAGCCATCCATGGTTAAGCAGAACCTTTGACTTATCTTCACATAGATAGAACTGGTAAAAGAAAGGAGCCAGGGGCTCCTCCCAAGCCCATGTGACCTCTGAGGAACAGATCCTCAAATGACCTTAAGAGTAAAAAATAAATTGATTTATCTGGGCCAACTGTAGGATCTTAAACACCCAAAAGGAAAGTATAACCAAAGATTAATGGGATTAATTTAATTTTTAAGAGTCCATTTGTATAGCTAAAGGCTGCATAACGAGAAACAATGCCAGACAGTAGATACCTTCCTTTGTGTTACTGGCCAGGGTGGCCCAAAAGACTCCCAGACAGCAACCCAGCATAGAACTGGGAAAATGAACAGCAGACTCCAATCTTATCTTAAGGAATATTGACAACTGATTGCTGCTAGATGAGGAACAGCTGATCTTCCTAAAACAAGGATCTCTAGATAGGCTGACTAGATTCAAGAGACGGACAAGCACTAGAGAAGGGCTGGGGTTGTTGACAATGCAGCCACTGCTCTTAATCCCTGATCTATATCTCCAACCTTCATCTTAATTTTGTTCAAATTATTTTCATGTTGTTTTTGAGACTTCTTTCCCCATGCCTTGTTTAATCTTCAAATATTCTGAGATTGCACCACTATTGCTGTTTTTAATTTGATGCTTGAGTCTATTGTGATTTGTGTGATTTACACTCTTTCAAATTTATTCAGGTATGTGCTATGTCCCATAATGTGATCTATCTTGGTGAATGTTCCATTTAAACATAAGAAGAATATTTATTACATACCTGAATGAAATATTCTCTCTCTCTCTCTCTCTCTCTCTCTCTCTCTCTCTCTCTCTGTCTTGTAACACAGGATACTTTATAATCCTGTATGTAGCCTAGGCTAGCCCCAAACTCACAGCAATTCTCCTGTCTCAGCCTCTTGAGTACTGGGATTACAAATGTGTTCTACCACACCCTGCCTGGATACAATATTTTCTAAATGTAGAAGAAGATGACTGATAGTGCTGATCAAGTTAGAGATGTCTTTTCAACCATTTTGTCTCCTTGATCAACCAACTGCTAAAAGAATAAAATGTTAAAGTCTATATACACATGGTTACTAACTTAGAATGGTTAAGCTAATGGTGTTTTGACTTTTTAAGGATGCAAATTTAATATACATTTAGTAGAAAACGTATGTTGGATTTTGAATTTTAATCTTTTCCTGAACTACTAATATTGTTCAATATTCTCACAATGACTAGCTGGGGCAAGAAAGCTGCATTTCTAAGTAAGCCATACAATAAAGAGGGGAAACTATGTTAAAAACATGTTGTCTCACTAACGTCTGATATGTGGTAGGTTAGATGTAGTAAAGGCATCTTAACTACATCTTAATTATCCATAATAAGCTTAATTATGCCATTATTATATAAGTATATAGCCATATCAGCTCCCATCACTCTTGTTGATTCCTTTCCTCCACCCTACTAGCCCCCCTTCTACTTTCATACTTTCATGTGGAGAGAGAGAGAGAGAGAGAGAGAGAGAGAGAGAGAAGGACCCAATGAGTTTAATTAGGTTGTCTTATAGGATCATGGGTGAGGGATTGCTGATAGGAGGCTACGCTATTGAAGAAAGTATCTCTCTCCCCCAACATGGTAGGGCTTTCAAACATTAACTGATACTCTTTCCTCTAACTGGTATATTAGTCCATTTACTATATGACCATAATATAGACACATATGAATATAAAAGACTTTTATTATTTCTCTCTGAGAACTTAGGCCATAATAAACACAAGAGCCTGAAATGAGAGTGAGGAAAAGAACAGAAAAGGGGAAGATTAGAGAGAGGGGTTAGATTTGTAGTATTGGGAGACTGCTCCTTATATGGGTAAATATTCACACTTGAACTCTTGATCATGGTGAATTACATAGTATACGCAGGCTGCCAGCTCCTTGCTCTAGCCTTTGAACTTGCAGACATAGGGTAACTCCTTGTTACAATAGTAATCTCTCCACTTCAGAAATCCTGCAGACACAGAAGTGGTAAAATGAATGGGGCAGGTACATCATCTAAACTCAAAGAAGTGGTATCTCTGATGAGGTCCAGATACCAAAGCTCACCCTGATCTTCACCTCCTCTCACTCTAGGAGGAGGAGACATGAAAGCATGAGAAAAGACAGGCCCACACTGAATTTTCTAGCTCAGAGGATACCCAGAAGATAAGGTCCAAGAACAGGGGAATGGGATTGGGAAACACTGGGGAGGGAAGGCTGTCTGTTTCTTACCTGAGGCATATGACACAGTTCCACAGTAACCGGGGTCTGAGGCAATGGAAGGATTCCTCTCCCAGTTGAAGTAATTCATCACATCAGCATTACTCCATTCCCATCCACCTCCATTGGGTTCTTGGCCCTTTAGAAGAGACAGTCATGGAAAAGGGATGGCCATTAAAACTCTTTTGCGTGATCTCTAAGAAGGAACAGCCGATACCCACATGCAGCCTCATGGAATTGATCTATATCTTCACATGCTTCCCAGAGCTCACTCCACTTTGAAGTTTAACCTTAACATTACCTCTCTTATTACCAGAGTACAGCCAATAATCACAAGCTCTTTAAAGTAACAAAAATAATATGTCCCTGAATGATCATGCTGTAGTTTGCTTTTATAAATTACTCAGAACCTCATGCATCATATGAATCATATACAGAACAAATATGGATCTGCTTCTCACTTAGGATTCTCTTAGAATTACAGGCACAGACTCCATGAATCCCACAGAGAAGATTCCCAAGGCCTCTTGTGGAACTTTGTAAAAGTTGACAACAGGCACATAAACTTTATCTGAGGACTAGGGACCGCTATAGAGTTCAGTTCTTCAGCAAACACCAAGGATTTCTCTTTACTCAAATTGTAATATAGAATCTGGGCTCTGCATATCATTTGGATTCTTTTCATGGAGGAAAAGAGAATGTGCCTGGGTTACAAGAGCCACTTGAGAGAATACAGAGGGGAGAAGATGGACTCTTACCAGAGTGGGGTCATGAAGCCCAATCCAGACGTATTGGTAGCTGATTGCACTCCTCTTCACTAGGGAAGACACAAAAGACGCCTCGGCTGCACTGAGCACAGACACGAGGTGTCCTGAGGGCCGCTTCTGGCAGGCCAGCTAGGGAAAGATGGAATGAGACACAGAGGTTGACCTCGTTGAGGAATGGCAGGGTAAATGTAGATGAGTAGGATGGATTGCATGAAAGAGAGTATGTTAAGTCTGATTCCCAAGGAACCAGGGAAACTGGACACCTCTTTCTCTGTAACTGACAAGTACTTCCCATGGTTCCTCATCCCTCCTCCCATCTCTCAGCACTCACATCTGCATCAAACCAGGATTTGGGAATTTTAAACAAGGCATAACAGTAGGATCCATAGGCCTGGGAGCCCGTGGGGCAACTGATGCGTGGAGAAGCTGCTTCTTTCTGAGTGTGTTCGCCTGCAATGGAGGGAGGCAGAGAGAGGTATGGGATAAAATGAAGAGAGGAGATTAGAATGCAAACATTTTTAGGCCTGTCTGATGGGCTTAAGTCCAGAATATTGACTATCTCATATTTTTCTCTCTTTCAGGCATTCTTGATCTTTAAATAGGCAGATTTTATGAGACAGCATCTGTTTATTTTATACTTCTCTCCTCTTCTGTTATTCATAGATCTCCTTCTTGGGGCTGACATTTCCTGTGCTGGCCTGTCCAAACCTGTGTGTTCTCTAAAATTCTTCACTAACTTTAAAAACTTTCCTTCTTTGGTCCTCCAACACAAACTAAAGGTTCCTGATTGAATGGGAAACCTTCTCATCCTACTGATGATCAACCACTGGGCTACTTCCCATCAAAAGTGACCTTGGGGAAGGCAGGATGATGGAAGGGTTGCAGGGAGATGTCTTGCATGGACTACTCTCCATCATTTCCGTAGGAGACTCTTGGGACCTTTCTCTGTCCCTTGGCTCTGAATACTCACAGGAGACCCAGTGTTAGAGGTGGAGAAACATTACCTTGCACCTGAGACAGGAGCATCAGGCAGGAAAGCAGCATCCAGGACATTCTGGAGAGCACCATGCCAGGCAGCATCTTGTCTGTGAGTGAGGAGCAGTCAGAATCACTGAGGGAGTGTGATCACAGAGGACATTTAGAGAGAACCATCCCTTCCCTTCTCCTTTGTGTAGCTCTGCAAGGATACACTAATCTTGGTCCTAACTCTCTTTTTCTGTGGTTCTGGAATTAAGTATCCATGTTCTTCTCCTCTTTCCTGAGAGCTCCCCACAGCATTTGATGATTTTCAGATCTTTGTTTTCAGTGAGAATGAAGACGCTTGTGAGCCTGCAATGTTCTCATCCTCTTTCAGCTCCCACTTACCTGTCTTGTAGAAACCTGAGATGGTCTGTCAGGACAAAGATGACTGAGCTTTTATAACAGGATCTGAGGGAGGGGCAGGGAAGTGAGTAACTGGAATGCCTAGGCAGATTGGGGTAGTAGGCAGTGTTTGGCATAGATTCTAGGAGATTCCCAGCAAAAGGAGGAGACTCTTCCTGGCAAAGACTGGGAATTGCCACACATGTGACCTCTTTCCTATCACCAAGTCAGCTTTGTCTTGGGGTGTGGGTAAAGTTTGAACTTTCCCCACCCTCTCCCAGGCATCCTGTTCTGGAAAACTTAAAAGAGTGATAACAGCTTTGGCATACAAATTATGCTATTACCGACTTCTGAAAATCTTAAAGCCTTTATTTACTGAGGAAAATAAATATTAGCAGTTTACTTTTGATGAAACTGGAAGAACTTACTCCTGTAGGTGTGTTTCTTTATATTTTTTGTAAGATTTAAAACATTAATAATAAAAATTTTGATTAGCTAGAAATTGGAACTACTAATAAGGATAATATGTTAGTTGAAGCAAAAGAAAACTTGAAGCCAAGAGGACAAATAGTGGATACAAGTTATTGTGTGAACTTTGTAGCAACATTTCAATAAAGCTTGGTAGTAATCTCCTGAATTAATTGTTTAGGTAAGACTTCAAGGAAAGGCAGCTAAATGGAATTGATTTCCTGCTACCTGTATGTGGGGAGACTGAGAAATAACATCTCAGTTTAGTGTTATTCACTTTAATGTTATTCACAGATTAGTGTTGTTAACTTGATATTTTACAGAAGCATCCTCAGATTTTAGCCAGACACTAATGGGAGTTTTTAGAGCCTTTAAGAATGGCTTGGAATTTGGGCTTTACTTACTTACAATAAAATGTTCTATTTTCTCTTTTTAATGATCATGATCACATTTGAACTTATGGGGTCAAAGAAATGGTGGGTAAGTTATGCATGCATTCGCATTAATTAAGCCATTTTCATCCTAACAGCCATATCCATGTTCATGTAGGTAGACAGAAGACATTTTCACTTTAAAAAAATACTCTTGAAATAGATTAAACAATGAGACTAATGAACATTAATAAGCCTCATCCCTTAAACACATAATTTAAACATTTTTATTACTTTTCCCTCATTTATTTATTTACTGTGTGTGTGTGTGTGTGTGTGTGTGTGTGTGCACATGCACAAGCTTGCACCATGGTATGCAAGTAGAGGTCAGAAGACAACCTGTAAGAGTTGGTTCTCCCTCTATCCTGTGGGTCCTGCAGATCAAGCTTAAATTGTCAGGCTTTGTGACAACACCTTTTCACCTGATGAGGCATCCCCCTGCCTGGAACACATACTTTTAATCATTCTGTATGTAGACATGGCAATGTCTGTCACTGAAGAACAATGGTTGTGCTGAGGAAAAGGAGACTGTCTTCCAATGTTTTGATGCAACATCATTTTTATTTGAAAGGTGATATATATAATTTGGTGTTTTTAGAATATGTGAAAATTTTTTTTTTTCAAAAATAATCAAATGAGATTGCTAAGGTTTGTTTAGTTTAGTTTTTTTTTTATTTTAAGACAGTTTCCTTGTAGCCCCAGTTGGCCTGGCACTCTCTATGTATACCAGACTGGTCTCAGTTACACAGAGATCCACCCGCCTTTGCCTCCCGAGTTCTGGGACAAAAGGCATATCCCACCATGCCTGACTGATTGGTAAGTTTTTAAAATTCCTGTTTTAGCCAGGCATGGTGGCGCATGCCTTTAATCCCAGCACTCAGGAGGCAGAAGTAGGTAGAGCTCTGTGAGTTCAAGGCCAGCCTGGTCTACATAGTGAGTTCCAGGACAGCTGGGGCTACAGGGAGACCCTGTCTCAAAAAGACCAAAAAAATAAAATAAAATAAAAATTCCTGTTTTAATGTTTAAATGTCTAGTAGTATAAACATCATCAACATGTGGATAACAATATCTCTTTGGGATTCTTGATAATTAAGTGCAAAAGTTCTCAAATGAAAATAGTTTGAGAAACTCTTAATATTGTTTATCTACTAATTTCAAGGAAATCAGAAGATGGAAGCAGGTTTTATGATATATCAGCACAGACACAAATAGCAAAATTCAGAAGGTGCAAATTTCAACAATGAATTAAGGTAATAAGTTGATATAATGCTGAGTATCTGAAAGAAATATGTGGCAAATCCAATATGTAAGATACATTTAGATTCTATTGTTTTGTTCTGTTCGAACTTATGTGAAATTTAAATAAATGCTGGCAAAAAGAAATGTTGGGAAGAAGGAAAATATAAAGACTAATATGGGAAATAAATTTAAAAGCAAATTTTACTGAAGAACATATATGCATAATTCCTGAATGATATATTAAAGAAATCAAAGTTACTAATGTGTATGATAAATGAAGAGAAAGAATTAACTTCAGCAATGCCAGGATGGTTTTACTTTGGAGGAAACATTGTTAGTGTCACATTCAGAAATCTTCTTCTTTAAAAGAAGAAAAATCATCATCCTAAAATAATTAATTAAAAATATTAAGCAAAATTTAACCTTCATTAATGAATGATGAAAATTCCTGACAATCAAGATGTAGATACATACTTTAATGTTATAAAGAAACCAACAAAGGCTCAAAATTAAAATACTGAAAATGATATTTTAAAAAACTAAGAACACAAGTTTGCTACCCTCTTGCTTCTATTCAACAATGTCATATTGCAGAAAGTACATTTTCTCAAGAAAAGAGAAATTTAAACAATTTTGAAAGTAAATGGAGTTTTTGTTATTTGTATATGCTGTATCATTTCCATGAAAAGATACACTAAAGAATCTCCATATTAACTGTTGGAGTTAATGGGAGAATTTAGTAAGCAAGAAAATATTGCTAACATATAAGTCCTAATTAAGCACATAATTTAGCAGCAAAATTAGATAAGGTATTTTTATGAGAGATATCATTTTTAACAGGAAGAAAAATATAAAGAACCTAGATATAGGGGCTGGGTGATGGGTCAGTCTGTAAAGTGCTTTCCATGTAAACATGAAGACCTAAGTTCTATCCCCAGTATCCATGAAAAAGCCAGGAGTGGCTGCACATGCCTATAATCCTAGCCGTGGGGTGGTGAAGGTGTGGGTACTCTCTCTTGGGTTTATTGATCAGACAGTCTTTTCTAATGAAGTTCAGTGAGAGATCCTGTCTCAAAAAATAATGTGGAAAAGGATTAAGGAAAACACTTGATGTCAACCTCTGATATCCATATACATGTTGGTATACACATGTGTGTACACACAAACATATACCTACACAGAACCTAAATATAGAGTTGGCGAGATGGCTCAGCAGGTTGGGGCCAGGTCAGGAAACCTGAGTTTAATCCTCAGAATCCATATGATGGAAGGGAAAAACCAGCTCTCAAAAATTGTCCTTTGATCTCCACATATGCATACAGTTGTATATGTGCACACACATACACAATGAATAGATAAAATATAAAATGATATTTTCATAAAAAGAGCCTATCGTACAACATCTTTTTAATATTTTATTTTTATTGAATTTTTGTGTATTTAATACAGAACATCTCAATCAATCTTAATCATCTTTATACCCCCTTCCCCACTGGCACCCTCCCATAGCCCCCTCCCCACCAGAATTCATACATTCCATCATTTGTCTTAAGGCTTATTGTGTCAAGTTAGTGTGCCCAGACGTCCCTCAAGGCAAGTTCATCTACTGAGGTCTAGTCAGCCTTTCTAGAGTCCCTCACTTTAGGAAGATCATATGAAAAGAATAAAGGTCTCCTGAATGTTTCTAAGCTCCAAGACTTGAAAACATGAAGAAACTTTTTATGTTCCTGTAGAAGAGAACTCATGTAGAAGATAAATCAGTACCAAATAGAAGCTGACTCTCCATTGGCTGTCAGGGTTGTAGGGTGGAACACCAAAATGATTTGTTGGTTATTTGATAAACTAGTTTCAAGTATCATAAGAAAAACAAAAGAGAAAAAGTAGTCAACAAATCACTGCAAACAAACACATGTTTTTTTTAACAAATCACTGCAAACAAACACAGATTTTTTTAAACAAAGATTTATTTACTATAAAGTATGTGGTAGCATATGATCAGCGTAAAGAAGACAGTTCAGAGAGGGCCTGGAGAAGGTGGAGAAATGAAGAGTTGTCATAGATAACCAAGAAAAGATAGTCTGAATAATCTGAGTTAATTGACCATCCATAAGAACAAAAGTAGTTTGGCTTCCTACCCCTTGCACTGCAACATGAAAATAAAATAAACAGAAATCTAGGAGAACTTACTTAAACTTAAAAAGCATGGACTAGCAAAGTGACCAGAGAAGAATCAAGGATTCCAGAACAATTAATAATTTTTGCTGTGAAGGTTACCAACATAGAGACAATATTTCTTCTATACAAATATTTTCAAAGAAGAATGTTGACATAACAATAAACCAGGTCAAAGGTCTGAATGTATATGATCTCGGGTAGGTTCATTCTCACAAACTTTTGTTCATGGTGAAGATACTCAGCATTCCTGTCTTCAGAGGTTTCATTTTATCAACTGTAATCCCTTCAAAAGTATCTCTTGAACTACTCTGTGTCCCCTTTTAAATTTCTTAGCAAGCCTTTGAAAATAACTTCAGGAGTCACCAAAATCATATCTATGGCTATTTTAAAGACAATGAGGCCTGA